CTGAGAGAGCGGAGTAGGAGGAAGGTTCCTGTAAAGTTACGGGCTGCCTCTGGATGTGATGTAATTGTTGCGCAACCATTATGACCGGGGCAACGTAGGGACGCCGTTAGCTGATAGCGGTGTCTGTAATAACTCACTAAATGGCCCGTGAAAAAAATATTTTTTCCAGCGGATGTCTTAGTTACAACATGATTGAGCTAACTGGAGTAGTTTCATGTCGTATCCGACAACGGGAGGCTTTTAACAGATGACGTCCTGATGTTAGCTTTGATGCTGCTGTTAGCTGTCCCTGTCAGCTGCAGCAGCTGATGCTTTCTAGACATCGTGATTTCCCAAAACTGAATAAATACCACACATAGCAACACAAAACTGCTTTGCTAGCTCAATCATGTTGTAACTAAGATATCCGCTGGAAAAGATATTTTTTTCACGGGCCATTTAGTGAATTTTTTTTACATGGCGGCGAAAGCTATATGAACAAGCTAACCCTCGTCTGCTGAGTTTTAAAAATGCCGGCTATTTTGTTGCTTTCTGTTGTCATCACATCCCTCCTTGAGTATATCCAATCAGCACCAAGTAAACCCCAAGTTCCTGTGGTGGAAACGGGCCTATTGTGTAGATTTACTGTAGCAACTCCTCCCCGTCCGTCCAGTCAAACATTCGTGCGGTTGCCATTCTGTTTGTTTATACATCGCTGCTCTGTAGAAGTAGGCCTTTCGCGATATGGAATAAGTCGGTTAATTGCACGGTAAATTAAAAGGGAGACGGTAACTTTTCCGGCCGCGATTAATGGCATATTCATGCGTGTTTGTTTTCCTCGTCTCTCTCCACCAAAAAGACTGGATGACAAGAGCGTTCACTGCCGTGCATCGTCTGGAGCCAGGTGAGTTGGAGGGCAGCCCCGTAATTAATTAGGACGAGCCGGTGTGCCGGGTTTGTTCTAAAACCATCTCAACACAAAGAGCGAATACGACCAACTTAACTGCACACCTGAGAGTGAGAGACTGACAGACTGTTTTTTTGTATTTATTTATTTAGATATTTTTATGTGTTATTTTGGATATTTAAATTTTCTTTTTTGCATTCCTAAATATTCTTGTTAAATAAATGTTTATTTCTCTTTAAAAGGGTGTACCTGCATCAATATGCCTTTATTATCATTATATAAGTTTAAAAAATGGTCTGAAACAGCAAAATTACAACAATAATAAAAATGGTCTTAAAATCACAATATTACGCAATATTATCGCTTATCGCAATAATTTCTGACGCAATTAATCGCCCAGCAAAATTTGTTATTGTGACAGGCCTATGTAGAAGAAACGTAAGCGTCACACCACCAACTATTGGCCTGGCATGTAAACTGCAGCGTTTTTGGTCATTTTTGTGGATCTGTGTGCACGGTGATTGTCGAGAGAGAAGGAGGGAGCAGGAGAGAGAGAAGGAGAGAGCAGGAGAGAGAAGGAGAGAGAAGGTGAGAGAAGGTGAGAGCAGGAGAGAGAAGGTGAGAGCAGGTGAGAGAAGGTGAGAGCAGGAGAGAGAAGGAGGGAGCAGGAGAGAGAAGGAGAGAGCAGGTGAGAGCAGGAGAGAAGGTGAGAGCAGGAGAGAGCAGGAGAGAGAAGGTGAGAGAAGGTGAGAGCAGGTGAGAGAAGGTGAGAGCAGGAGAAAGAAGGTGAGAGCAGGTGAGAGAAGGAGAAAGAAGGAGAGAGCTGGAGAAAGGAGAGAGAAGGAGAGAGCAGGAGAAAGGAGAGAGAAGGAGAAAGAAGGAGAGAGCAGGTGAGAGAAGGTGAGAGCAGGAGAAAGAAGGAGAGAGCAGGAGAAAGAAGGAGAGAGCAGGAGAAAGGAGAGAGAAGGAGAAAGAAGGAGAGAGCAGGAGAAAGGACAGAGAAGGGGAGAGCAGGAGAGAGCAGGCGAAAGAAGGAGAGAGGGGGCAGTGTGACGTTATCTCAAGTTATTTGGGTTGAACGACGCGACACATCACAGACCCTGTGTACCTGCATGATAGAGGACAGACTCAAATCAAACTAACACACACTTCATTAACACGGTCCTGACGTCACTGACGAAACAAGACAACATGTCATAACACGGACTGACATGTGTGCTTTAACAGCCGGCCCCCACATATTAACTCAGATCAGTGTCAGACACAACTTATTACACATCATCCAGAATCAGCACCAAATCCAGCACACAGGATCACAGACTGCTGGAGCTGTCAGACTGAACTCAAAACTTCAAACTCCAGAATTAAACCTTGACTGCAGCACGAGCTGTGAGTATGATCGCTAAAATGTGGTTAGGGTATTGAAACTGTGACTCCTCATTAGATGTTTCAGACTCAAACTATTTTGATAATATAAACCTGATTTGCACAAACACAAACAAATATCACAAATAAAAAAAAAAAACACTGCATAATACACAAATGTGCAATCACAGAACTGAGATTCACAAATATCTGTTTGAAAGTTATAAATGTAAGAAATGCTTTTCATGTATTTTTAAATCAATTAAATGCGTTCAGTATTTTCTGAATTTCAGATCTGTATTACATTTGTAAATAACAGTTTAGTGATATTTCTTATTTGTTTATTTTTATAATATTTCTGTAGCTGCTGTTTTGTTGCCTTGTTTTGAACCTTCAATGCACTGAATCTGAGAGCTGCTGCCTCAGTGTCGTACTCGCACAATGTCGACAAACAGATTCTGATTCTGAACCCTGATGTGTTTTTACAGGAAATAAATAGTTTCACATTAATTTTCTATGAATCCACTTTTTGATTCATACACTAATGATTTCAGCTGGACTGCAAAAACTGTCTGTAACTGAACACAGGGTGCAGTGACACACCAGTTTCAAAGTATACCGCGATATACAAGTTGACAGTTATCATAACGTGCACATTTGCTTATCTACAAATCAACTGGACAGAGCGTCTCTCCTTTATTTGACTTGTTTTCAAAGAGGAGACTTTTTCAACAAACTTCTAATAACAAAATGTTTCAACTTTCAGTGTTTGTTCAACCATCAATAACCCTTCTGCTTTCATTTCTTTAAGAAACATCCTGACTGAGATTCATTTAAATTCTGTAAAACATGAACCTGTGATATTTTCTGAGGCAGTGATCGCACCATGAAAATCTCATAGGATTACAACCCTACTGAGCAGCACTGTTTAAAACTCTTCATGTGTTTTGTGTGTAAAACTCTGAATTAGTAAAGTCTGTAGAGCTGGCAGGTAGATGTAGTGGAGTAAAATGAAAGAGGGCCTTAGGTTAATGTTAATATCGTAGAAACGTACAGTAGTAGAGTAAATGTACTTCGTTACATTCATCACTGTAATTCAACCTTTACTGGAAAGTAACGGCTGAAAACGGTTCTTTAACTGAAACAATCAAAAGCTGATTGTTTGTTACGGGGTGCAGCTACACTGCTCCATCAGCTTCCTCACACTCACACTCACTTTAATCCTCAGTAACAGTCCTGAGCTCTGTGAATCAGACAACAGAAACTAAACTGTGTAACACGAGGTTTCTCTGCCTCTGCTGAGGTTAGCCACACAGCAGGCTAACACAGAGCTAACAGGCTGTGAGCTCCAGCAGTCGGAGTGATGAGAGAGTTAAGTGTGTAAGTGACAGTCAGTCTGTGAGGCTGTTCCTCTGACTGTCAGAACAGACTTGTATCTAAACTGTAACGTGCTCTGAAACACCGGGCTGCTGCTAACACCGTTAGCTTGTGTGGCTAACTTTGCTAACAGGCTAACCGTTAGCAGCTTTGTAAAACCCTGCTGCTCCTCACCGATATATTCTGACTGTAAGATGACTTAAATTCATTATTATAGATCCATTAAAACACCAGTTGTGCTGTGTTGGATTTTCAGGGCTGTTCTGTTGTGTTTAGTGTCCGGAGTTAAATGGCGGCGGCCCGGTTAACGTTACAACAACAACGCGCTGCAGCTCAAATAAAAACTCACCGACAGTCTCCGCTGCAGAGTTAGCTATCTAGCTGTCATTAACGGGCTAGAATCCTCCGTAAAGATTTCCTCTGAAGAAACATGAACGTCTAAAACTTTATTCAACTGAACTTTAAGAAGGTTTGTCACTTTAGCCACCAGCAGACTCCATCATGACGCTTCTTCTTCTCGGCCTTCAGAAAAGCATGCTGGGAAATTCTCACAACGGGCGGGAGAGCGCGCGCCGTCATCACGCAAAGGATTATGGGAAAAAGAGTTTTACTGTTTCAATATACTGTTCATACTGTATACCAAAGCGTATTGCTGCCACACCAGGAAAAATATAATGTGTCAGTATTATGTTATAACGTGAAAAGTTCATTGTTCTAACAAGAAGTTTTCCACATTATAATAATATATTTTCACATTATAACAATATATTTCCACATTATAACAATATATTTCCACATTATAACGTAATACTGACACATTATTTTTTCCTGATGTGGCAGAAATACGCTTTCATAATTATACACACACACACACACACACATATATACATACAAACACACACACACACACACACATACATATACACACACACATATGTATATATATATATATGCATATATATATATTGTATATTTTTCCCCCTTGAGCCTCCCTGAATGACTGGAGGAAACTCACCATTTTAAGCTCAGATTTATTTATTTGTTCTGTCAGAAGTCTTCCTCTCATATGATGCGTACACGGACGGTCAGAAATGTGAAATTCCAACAATAATTTCTGTTTTTACAGCTTCGTGCTGTGATAACTGGTGTAACGTTTGGTGATTTAAATAAATGATCAAATGGGTGTATTTTTTTTATCAAAGTATTTCTGATTCTGATTTAAATAAATAAAGTGAAATTGGTCAGATTTTGCCTTAAAAGGTGTCTGTTTTTTTATTTAGATAGATAAATAAATAAATAAATAAATAAATAAATAAATAAAGTGAGTGAGTTCTGAAACCATACGTCATCACCGGGCCTGTCCAGTCAGAGCAGAGCATTAGAGGACAGTGTCAGAGAGCACGAGCCGTGTCGAGCCGTTTCTCCTCCTCTCAGCGGTTACCGGTAAGTTCAGTGATCTCCGGCGGTTTACACGGTGAACCGGAGGATAAGCAGCCGGTGATATAACGGGACACTCAGAACAGTCTTTCACCGGGATAAAGTCCCGTTTCGATCTTTGTTTGTCACTTTAACACGTTTTGAATCGTCTCCGTTTAGCGGCTAGCTGACCGGCTAATGCTAACTAGCTTAGCTCAACCGTCAGTTGGAAGTTGAAGCGGTGCGTTCTTCACTTCTTCGTTAGTGACGTGATCAGAGACTCAGCTGCTGCTGTAGGGTCAGTTTCATATGGAGCTGACTGACTGGGAGCTAACGGCTAACATGTGTGTGGCTATTAATGTGCTGTCCTCACATCAGTGACACATTTATCATGATCAGTCATTAGTTACAGCTGATTATCTTCTGGATTAATGCAGATATTGATTTTCCTGTGACAAGTGATAAAATGATGTTACCACAGTTAGAGTGTGTCTGACCGACGCTGTGTTTCCTCCAGCAGCACTTCACTGTGTCACGGGTCATATGAGCAGCACTGATGAGCCGCCACAGGTCCTGGTGAGAGCTGAGTACACACCATATCCTGTCACACACCTGTCACACAGGTGACACACCATTACCTGTCACACACCTGTCAAACAGGTGACACACCATTACCTGTCACACACCTGTCATACAGGTAACACACCATTACCTGTCACACACCTGTCAAACAGGTGACACACCATTACCTGTCACACACCTGTCATACACCTGTCATACAGGTGACACACCATTACCTGTCACACACCTGTCATACATCTGTCATACAGGTGACACACCATTACCTGTCACACACCTGTCACACACCTGTCAAACAGGTGACACACCATTACCTGTCACACACCTGTCACACAGGTGACACACCATTACCTGTCACACACCTATCAAACAGGTGACACATTTAAGATAGTCTCGCCACCAGACAATCAGAGATCTCCACCTTCTGATAGTCTGGGGACACTCCTTTCTAAAGTGTGTTTAACACACCGGAGAAAACGGCCGGCAACAAAGCAACGCCTCTCATTTTTGAAAAGGACACGCCTTCTCGGAAATGTGCGCTCCCCCTTTTCTCGTCCGCAAGGAAACAAACACACAGAGAGCTTGAAAATGATTCCGAGAGATTTAACTCCGTTTTATCAAACGTGTGCTCATCCGTGAAGAAAATATTTTTTCCAGCAGATGTCTTAGTTACAACATGATTGAGCTAACTGGAGTAGTTTCATGTCGTATCCGACAACGGGAGGCTTTTAACAGATGACGTCCTGATGTTAGCTTTGCTGCTGCTGTTAGCTGTCCCTGTCAGCTGCAGCCACTGATGCTTTCTAGACATCGTGATTTCCCAAAACTGAATAAATACCACACATAGCAACACAAAACTGCTTTGCTAGCTCAATCATGTTGTAACTAAGATATCCGCTGGAAAANATTCGGACTCAATGTCCCCCTCTGCCCTCGGGACGCGGTTGAAGCTCTCCCAGAGGTGGGAGTTGAAGATCATCTGGACAGGTTCTTCCGCCAGGCGTTCCCAGCAGACCCTCACTGTTCGTTTGGGCCTGCCAGGTCTGCGCGGCGTCTTCCCCCACCATCTGATCCAACTCACCACCAGGTGGTGATCAGTTGACAGCTCTGCTCCTCTCTTCACCCGAGTGTCCAGAACATATGGCCGCAGGTCAAATGATAATGTTCTGTTAAATAATTAAGCCTATTTAAACTAACACAGACTTCTACTCAGCCAACAGAAAGAAGGCAGATGCCCGTAAAACGAACACACTTTTCTGACCGCCCTGCACACAGCTGCCCTACTCAAGTGCTCAGCGTCTCCAACATTCTACAAAAAACTTCCATTTGCAAAGAAACACAGCGCAACACACAATATCTGCTGGGATGTGAGAGCATGACTACGATTGGTAATGTTGCAAATAAGGACGGATTAGGTCGTGTATGTAGATGATGGACTGTGACGTGAAACGGTACCGCTCAAAAAGATAATTGTGTGGAAATGCTAGAACATCTATGCGCAGTCTGATAACCATCTCCCGACGAATATTTAATTCTCTGCGCAGTAATGCTGCATCTTCATCCACGGGATCGTTATCAAAAGGACATGCCATGTTAGTGAAAAAAGTCGCCACCTACTGTGCCTAATGGACTTCTAATATACTGACTCTGATTTTTTTAAATGATTTTTAAAATGACAGACGGCAGAACTAGGCTACGCCAAAACTCGCCTGCTGACTGAATGAATGAGGAAATCAAATGGAGTGTGTGGCTCTGAAAGAGGGCGGAGACAGAGAGAAACTCGAGGTTCATTGAGAAAAACCTGGTCCCGACCAGGTTAGGTTCATAGAGTCTGTTACTATGGTAACTGACCGAGAGCTTAAGTTACCTCTCTCCCTGAAACAGGTTAGAGTTACCCCTCTTTCTCTGGTTTGAGTTACCTCCCTTTCTGAAACGGAAAACTCAGAGTTTCCCTCATTTCAGGGTTAACAGACTCTGAGTTTTCACTAAACCTGCTTTGTGAAATGGACCCCAGGTGAACAGGAAACCGTCTGTTGTTGCTCCTGTCGCTACTTCATTACACAGAACAATAAAGTTTGTCAGTTTGAATATGAAATGTCTCTGGACTCTGGTGTTGAAGGTTCCTCAGCGTTCAGACCAATCCAGAATCAGTTTTAAACCAGGACACATTCAGGGGTCAGGTTTCAGGTTCTGGGTCAGGTTTCAGGTTCTGTCAGAGGAGCGTCACACTTGGTGTATCAATCACAAAGACTATATTTTATGCATAATCAATAGACTTGCACCGATTAATCAGCAGTGCTCGGAATCGGGCCTGTTTTCAGCTGATCAGCCATGACCTGTGACCGGCTGGTCAGTTTAAAATATGCCGATTTAAAATGCCGGTCAAATTCCCGCCGCGCCGCATGATTGACATCGCGTAACATCAGCAGCACACACACGCACATGTGCAACTCACAGCTTGGGCGATGTGAGGAAGTGAAACATGGGCGGCTTCTCACCTTCATCATTCACGCACACTCATCAAAAGAGAGAAGGAGGAAGTTGTTTATTGTCCGTGTTAGCCTGAACTGTGGAGCTCTCACTGCTGCACTGTGCCGCTGGACACTGACGAGGCGCGTGTTCACACGCTTACTGGCGGGCGCGTCCTCAGCACTAAAGGCTTTCATACAGGCGACCAACATGTCGGCCGTGTGGAATTTTTGTCTATTCAAGAAATTACCCACAAATGCTATACAGCAAGAATTATTATTTTATTTATCCATGTTTTTATTTATGTATGCCTTTTTAACTTATTTATTTTAATACTGTACCTGAAGTTATATTTGAGCAAAAAGGAAAATGTTTCTCAACCTGTGTTGCTGTTGTTGTTTGTGTTTGTGTTTGTGTTTGAGGTGATTATTGAAGAGCTGGTTGTATCCTGGTTAAAATGTTCTGATAAAGCAAACATAGAAAATATTGCAATATCTTGTGAGCTGTAAAGTGGTTTGAAAAAAATGAAATTGGTAGTGGCCAAAATCGTAATCGGCCATCCAAACATTCTGCAAATCAGAAATCGGGATCGGCCCCAAAAATTGTAATCAATGCAAGTTTAGCGGTAATATTGTATCTTGGCGTCAGTGTCGTGGTGACATGGTACGTGGGGCCTCTAAGCCGTGTGTCGTCTCCTGTCTCAGCACAAAGAGTCACTCCACCTGTTTTGGACGTAACAGGCGATTTTGCAGAGGGACTCTACAGAAGCCTGGATGGACAAAAGATGAGGTAATGCTCATTGTGTTAGCATTCAAACAGTGTGTATGTCCTGTGTGTCCAGGTCCTTCACAGTAAAAGTCCTCCGTGTGGAGTAGCAGGCTTTTATTGTGAAGCAGCTGCAGGTACAGGATGTACACAGATAATATCTGAGTCAGGATATTTACACCATATCAGTCTTTAGCGTGGAAACTGCAGCTCAGTGTGATGATGATGATGATCTTCCTCTTCAGGATGAGAAGCTGCATGGACTGGTGAAGGAGTTTGGGTGCAGCAGCTGGTCTTCAGTTTCTCTGCATTTTAAAGTGAGTGGTTTCATCCACAGGAACAGGACAGCAGAGACACAGAAACAGGATGTTTAAGTATTTAAGGTTTTAAACGACCAGCAAACAGCAGACTGTTGCTGTCTGACTCTACGACCACAACATGTGACGTCTCAGCTGCAACACAGGAGGGGCAGCAGGAACTGGACCCCCATCCAGGTCTTTGTCAATCTGAAGCACACCGACTGGACCCAGTTTGTTTGTGGACATGATTGTGTTCTTAAACTTTCAGTTGTTGCTCAAGACTTTGAACACGTCAGTCCACAGCGTGCAGGACGCATCCTAACTGTCTGTGTTGTGTGTCAGGGTCAGAGGTCAGATGTGGAGTGTCAGCGGAGGTGGCAGCAGATAAAGAATCCAGATCTGGTCAAAGGTCCCTGGACTCAGGAGGAGGACGAGAGGGTAAACACTCACTCTTGATTGATGTGACTTTAAACTTGTTGAACGTGACTCTGGACTCGATGGAGGTCACTCTGGACTTGCAGGACATGTCTCTAGACTTGCAGGACATGTCTCTGGACTTGCTGGATGTACCTAAAGACTTGTTGGACGTGTCTCTGGACTTGTTGGAGATGACTCTGGACTTGTTGGGCGTGACTAAGGACTTGTTGGAGATGACTCTGTACTTGTTGGATGTGACTCTGGACTTGTTGGAGATGACTGTCTCTGAACTTGTAGGACTTGTCTCTGGACTTGTTGAAGATGACTCTGGACTTGTTGGATGTGACTCTGGATTTGCTGAAGATGACTCTGGACTTGTTGGATGTGACCAAGGACTTGTTGTACATGTCTCCGGACTTGGTGGACGTGTCTCTGGACTTGCAGACGTATAGTAGATCTCCTTTATAAACTAATAGCATGTTGTGATGTCACTTCCTGTGAAGGTCATTGAGCTGGTTCAGAAGTACGGCGTGAAGCGCTGGTCGCTCATCGCCAAGCACCTGCGGAGTCGTAACGGGAAGCAGTGCCGCGAGCGCTGGCACAACCACCTGAACCCGACGGTGAAGAAGAGCAGCTGGACGCTGGAGGAGGACGGCGTCATCTGTCAGGCCCACAGGCTGCTGGGAAACCGCTGGGCCGACATCTCCAAGTTGCTGCCGGGCAGGTATATAGAGCTGTGGTTATCTCTGTAACTGACAGGGTTCAGATCCACACTTTTTTATTTTTAACTTCAGAAAAACATTTGGATTAAGATGATTTTAACAAATTAAATTCTGAGTTGAGAAAAATCATTAAACCGTTCAGCAGCTTCAGTCAGACAGGATGTGATGTCATCCATGTTAGAGTCACAGACTGTATAAATAATAGACGAAGCTCCTGTGACGTCACCCGTCAGTCTGTGGACTCACGTTCAGCATTTAGGCTGCTGCCATCTTGTTTTTTAAGTCTTAATAAAGTATAAACAGGTGAGTTGTATGAAAAGGTAGAACTGATCTCCGGAGTAGGGACCCGCTCCAAATGAATCTATATTTTTAAAGTCATTACTAAAAGTGTGTGTCATATAAAAACTAAAGTGATGGTCAAAGTTGTCACAGTGAAATTTAAGGTGTGCTGATGGATTCACGTCATCAACTCATGCATTGAGTAACATTACAAGTTAAAGTTCCACCTTAAAAGTTGCTGGCAGTAGTACCAGATCTGTGTGCTAGGTACCCCAACAGAGGGGGGACCAAACATGGGGACGCTAAGGAACGCTTCTGTTGGAACCATCCACAACTTTTACTGTGGGAACAGAAACTATGAACAGCTGGGAGGAGGCGGGGCTTCAGTTTATTCTCCTGCTGCTTGCCTTCGACTGACTGAGTGAATAAAGAGCGACCTCAGGAACCAGTGAAGGGAAACTGTGCTGATATTCAACCAGCTGTGTGACATCACAGTGTGTGCAGATGAGCTCCAGGCGAACACCGTCCATCTGCACACACTGTGATGTCACACAGCTGGTTGAATATCAGCACAGTTTCCCTTTAATCTGTTGGTCTTATGTCAGGACGGCGGTGATGTGTTCAGTGTCACTGAGGTCGAACGTCAGCTGTCTGATTCATCCTTCAACACAAACTGCAGAGCCTCTGTCTGCTTCTCCTTCCATCAGTGTGATAACATGTCTTCAGGGGGTGCAGTCAGTGACAGTGTAGGCTTCACCCTCGCAAAGGGGCGGGGCTTAGCAAAGGGTCATCTGTGTCAGATTGAGTCACCGCAGTAACATTTGTCTTGGGGACGACTCTTCTCAGGACAGATAACGCCATCAAAAACCACTGGAACTCCACCCTGAAGAGGAGGGTGGAGAAGGAGGGATACCTGCAGGTCCTACACCTACACAACTCCTGCATCAGCTCCTCCAACACCTCCTCCAACTCCTCCTACTCCACCAGACCAGCATCCAGGACCCGCAGCCCCCCCGGCACAGCCAACATCTCCACCAAGGTCAGCATCCACCCACCATCCCATCATCCACCCATGATACCAGCAGTGATGATGATAATAATAATCCTTCCTCCAGCAGGCTGACGGTGTGTCCACTGTCAAGGACGAGTCCAGCTGCATTTCCTGTGGTCAGAGCGTGTGTGGGTGCCATGGCAACCAAGCCCACCCATGCTCCATCTGTGTCCCCGCCCCCTCCACCTCAGGTTACAGCTCCTCACTGAGCATGTGCGAGCTGACGGCGCCCATGGACCTGATGGAGACGGTACATTAGCTTTTTCTCTCACTGGAACACAGCTGAAGCTTTTATTTTGAAATGTAGCTGTAAGTGTGGTTTTATAGCCCTCGGCACCGTCTCTCAGGCTCTACACAAACATATCCGTCATTTCTCTACAAACAGAGCAGGTGATTCAAACAGGTCAAAACACTGAGTAAAGCAGGGTCACGTTAAAAATCAGTGTTTCTCTGAAGCTGTGTGTCGGTGTGTGTGTGTGCTCCTACACCACCTGCTAATGTGCACTCACCTGTTTTCTCTGGCAACTTAAGATCCAGACGCTCAGGAGGTTTTTACCAGGAGCTGAATTATTGTCTCAGAGCAGCTGATTTACACCAGGACATATATCATTATCATATCATATATAGCATGATATCATCATCGAACAAACAGACGCATCTACTGCAGAGGATCTAATCACAGCTTTCCCACGGTCATGGAAAACCTGGAATAGTCAGAGAATGTCACAGTCACTTTTTCCAGGCCTGGAAATGTCCTGGACTTTCGTTGTGTGTAATGAGACTAATCCTTAGGTGGATGATCTTCCACATGATGTAACGACGCTCTGATGTTTCCTCCCTGCGGTCCGTCTTGAGCTGACGTCATGACATCATGACTAAACAGAGTTTGAGTCTGGTGTGTTTTAAACCACCGCACAAGAAAAACAAATCTTTACTTCAGGTCCTTGAAAAGTCCTGGAAAAGTGAAACTGTGAGGGGTAAATATGACATTGAGACGTTTGACCTGATTTCATCACAGAACCCAGAGACCTGGAGCTGTGGCCCAGAGGAAGTGACATCATCGCTGTCCACCTGCCTGTACAGACAGGACGCTGACCTGTCAGTCATCAATCTGAGCACCAGTTATGTAAGACAACAAACACTGTGACATCATAACCCTTCAAACATTTTGTCCCTTCACACGATGACGCAATCATCAGGCGACGCTCTGCCTTCATCACGTCATTGCTAAGTGTCTCCAGAAAATGTGTCATGTTCATCATGTTTGTTCCTTGGATTATTAATCTAATCACAGGTTAGTAATATAATCACGTGTCCTCCACAGTGACATCAGTGTGTTGTATGAAGGTTACAGGTTTGAAGGAGCAGCTGGTGACCAGTGAGGATGGAGCCTCCTTGTTAGACTCCTCCTCCTCCTGGAGCAGAGGCAGCAGGGCGGGGCCTCTGACGTTCTCCCCCTCTGAGGTGAAGACACGACGCTGCTGCTGCTGCTGTTGGTCTTTAACTCTCCGTCTGATGTCTGATTGTCTTTCTGTCTGTCTGTTCTCTCTGTCTTCAGCTCTTCAGTCTGTGCGGTGTCGAGGATCTGAAGTTACAGCATCCAGCTCTCACCTCCACCCCCGTGTGTTCCCATAAACACTCCACCAACACCAACCAGGGCGACTCCTGCAGCCACAGGTAGTTTCATATGTTTTACATCAGCCATTCTCACACAGAGGTGGCGCTACAGAGTCTCTTCTTTACGGCAACTTCACATGTTTACACAGAACCAAACAATGACATTACATGTTGTTCCAGTGTGTGATTACAGACAGCATGATGACATCACAGAATCAAAAGAGGCGTGACCTGTAACACAACAGCGTTGACCTCTAGTGTGACATATAACATACGTGTTAGCAGTTCTTTATAAACAATAACAATGACATCACATGTCAATAACAATCATTTAGCGTCCCTGTTATATGGCGGCTGATCTTGTCCTCTGCTCGGAGGGTAAGGAGCTCCTGTTAGCTGCTAACTGCTAAAAGCTGCTGTTCTTCTTCTTTGAGTTAGCCGCTAACTGCTAACAGCTGCTTTTTAAATCTCCCACGGTGGGTCACACACATGACACATCATCAAAACGTCACACCCGTGCATAATCCGTCCTGCAGCTGTCTCTGTCTTACAGACATTGTTTCGGTGCTGTTAAAACTTCTGTTGCTGAGTTAAGCCTGATTTATGGTCCTGCGTTGACTCAACGACGTCGCTACTTTGTTGCCGTGACGCCGTCGTGAACCCTTCGAACTTCTCCGTCACTCCGTTTCATCGCGGTGCAATTCACCGCCAGAGCGGTAGGAGGCTGCGTTCCTTTCCTGAGTGGTTGTCGTCATCTCTAGTTGATTCTTTGTTTAGCTTCCGGCTTTTCCGGTCACAGAGAAATGAACGCGGAGCACGGACAGACGGCTCCGGCCGTATCCGTATCTGTATTGAACGTTGCATAATGGCATATATATAATGAGCCTTAATACTGCAACATCTACATCGCAACAGAAGATGTTTAAAGATGGCGGGGATGGCGCAATCTGGAAATACGGAACCGGAAATTTGCTACCAAGCAAACCAATCACAGCCCTGCCGGTCTGCGCTGGGTCTGTGTCGCCTCGACGTGTAGTTACATTTTTGGGGAGGTGCACGTCAGGCTATGCCGGGGGCTACGGCGAGCCTTCTGCGTAGCCCCGTACCCTACGACGTAGCGACGTCGTTGATTCAACGCAGGACCATAAATCAAGCTTTAATGGTGAGACAACTCTGACTCCTGATTCTTAGATCGTAACGTTTATACAGAATGGCGAGGCGACAAGACGGCATTAAATTCCCGCGTTGAACAGCAAGTGTAACGGGGGCTTCTGTCTCTTGTTCCACAGCGTCTGAGACACACTGTTATGTCAAAGTGTAAATTTATTGTTGATCAGTTTGAAATGTTTTAAAGAGAAACTGCCAGTTTTCTTGCACAGCGCTGGTTGAAGATCAGCACAGTTTCTCTCTAACTGCTGTGTTCAGGACGCCCTCAGAGACCAGGGAGAGGGTCAGAGCGCTGTGGACGGCAGCGCCTCAAACACCAACGCCACTGAAGATCAACAAGAGAGAAGACGAGGTGAGAGAAGACGTCCTGCTGTCACACTGTAAACACTCACCTGTCCCCTCAGTCCTGGAGCTGTCTGCTCTGTGGTGTGTGTGTGTGTGTGTGTGTGCGTGCGTGCGTGTGTGTGTGCGTGCACGTGTGTGGTACAGGTTCCAGTTTGTTCAAGCAGAATGATGAACGTGACGTGGGAGGAGCCAAGTGTGGATCCTGACAGTCAGCAGTCCAGCAGCAGCTCTGAGGTCAGACACACAAACACATCTGCAGCACGTCGACAAACTCAGAGCGACCTGAGATCCCTCCCAACGTCTCACATGTTCAACACGACCTCGTAAAGTTACCGTAAATGTTTATATATAGGCGACCACATGAACGGCACGCAGCTCATACCTGAAGTTCATGTGTCCATCAGAACAAAATCCAGGTCAGACCAGAAAGTCATGACAAGATGAAACTATTCACAGCGTCGCAGAGAGAAGTTTCAGTAGACTGACCCGTCTCAGCCGGCAGATGATGTCACCTGGTTTTAGAATGTAAGGCACGTCAGCCAATCAGCTTGTAGCAAAGTCAGCTGGTCAGGTGAGTTACGAGCTGTCGGCAGACAGCGCGTTCGCTGCTGTAACTGACAACAGCCCTCCATCCTCACCGACCCAGAGTCCGTCTTCTTTCAGTCCCCGCAGCTGTGGACACGTGTCTTGATGTGTCGTGTTGGACGGTTGGTCGCTTCTGCTCGCTGTGTGTGTGCGTCACACACTGACTGATTAATCTGCGTTGGTTATTTCAGTGGCTGTGAATACGGTCCATCTGTAGCTCAGGTCATTTGATTTCTGTGTTGGGAATTGGGACAGCCTTCATGGAGTGTTGTGACCACCATGAGACGGCGTATCATCTCTAGCCAACGACTCTCTGTGCTTCTGATCTGTAACGTTGACAGGAAGTGACCGCCATGAGACGGCGTATCATCTCTAGCCAACGACTCTCTGTGCTTCTGATCTGTAACGTTGACAGGAAGTGACCGCCATGAGACGGCGCATCATCTCTAGCCAACGACTCTCTGTGCTTCTGATCTGTAACGTCGACAGGAAGTGACCGCCATGAGACGGCGCATCATCTCTAGCCAACGACTCTCTGTGCTTCTGATCTGTAACGTCGACAGGAAGTGACCGCCATGAGACGGCGCATCATCTCTAGCCAACGACTCTCTGTGCTTCTGATCTGTAACGTCGACAGGAAGTGACCGCCATGAGACGGCGCATCATCTCTAGCCAACGACTCTCTGTGCTTCTGATCTGTAACGTCGACAGGAAGTGACCGCCATGAGACGGCGCATCATCTCTAGCCAACGACTCTCTGTGCTTCTGATCTGTAACGTCGACAGGAAGTGACCGCCATGAGACGGCGCATCATCTCTAGCCAACGACTCTCTGTGCTTCTGATCTGTAACGTCGACAGGAAGTGACCGCCATGAGACGGCGCATCATCTCTAGCCAACGACTCTCTGTGCTTCTGATCTGTAACGTCGACAGGAAGTGACCGCCATGAGACGGCGCATCATCTCTAGCCAACGACTCTCTGTGCTTCTGATCTGTAACGTCGACAGGAAGTGACCGCCATGAGACGGCGCATCATCTCTAGTCAACAACTCTCTGTGCTTCTGATCTGTAACGTTGACAGGAAGTGACCACCATGAGACGGCGTATCATCTCTAGTCAACAACTCTCTGTCCTTCGTTCTGATTTGCAGCTTTTCAGACTTATTTTGTGGCTGAATATAATTTGTAGCTTCTTAAAATCTGAATGAGGATAGTGATAGTGAGATACTGGCTACAGTGATGAAACAAAACCAGCGTCAGATGGACTGTATTCATAATCAATACGCCACAATAATATAAATAACCAGCGCCAATTCATCAGTCAATGAGAATGTGTGTGTGGGCGGGGCATAAGCACATACAGCCAGCAGCAGCAGCGACCCACCATCTGACACCGGCACACAGTGAGGACAGAAACAGAGGGCTCTGTGGGGACGGAGCACCTGCTGCAGCAAGCCAACACGCCGTCTGTGGTCATTTTGACTTGACCAGCTGAGTGTCAGGTGACACCATCAGCCGGCTTGAGTCCAGCTCAGACCAGCCAGTTCACACCGCTGACACTTTTCTCTGCGACGTTCTGAGATGGTTTCATCTGGTCGTAAATTTTTGGTCTGTTTAAGACGAAGAACCTAAACAGCTGATCGTCTTGTCACACACAGAAACATAAAATTCAAAACAAGTGTGTCACACTCTTGAGGACGTCTCCTCTGAGGAGACACCTTTATGGGGACTTCTGTCCTTCAGGTCCAGGGAGAGAGTCTGCTGAGCTCCATCCTGCAGTTCCAGAGAGAGTCCAGCTCCACCTCAGTGGTCCAGAGACAATCCAGCTGTGTCCCACAAGTCCAGAGAGAGTCCAGGTTTGTCTCCAGCTGTGAGGAGTTTGGCTGCTTCCCGTTGGACGGACGGACAGAGGTGTGGTGGTGTCAACAGTCGGTCACTTACCTGCACTCTCCTGAATGTCCCGCGTACAGACTGAACCCCTTTGAGGTGAGGACTGACCACAAACATTCTTACTCCTTTTCCACCAACATGGAGCTGGTTCTGTTCTGGTTCCTGCTCCTGGTTTTAAACTGTTCAGAGCATTAAGAGTAAAAATAAACCGGTTCAGAACCTGAAGAGTGGGTTCTCAGCTGGAACCAAACAATAACAGGTTCTTCTTTAACCTCATGTATAAATGGTGATGACATCAGTGGGCGTGTCATATTTGACAGGTTGGACAGAGAGGACCAAAGTTTGCAGGTTATCAGTTTGATCTGAATTTTTCCCACTGCTGTTTACCTCTGTTGGCCACGCCCTCTGTTGATGACACGTTCTTAATTACAATAAAACTGGTTCACTGGATCGCATCACAGTTCCAAGAGTCCAGTTTAAGAACCAGAGCTGGTTTGGTGGAAACAAGGTTTTATAATGTTCTGTCAAGAGTGTTCTCAGGTTCCTCTGCTGATCTTCATGTTGAGACTCAGTCCATCAGTGAATGTATCTGCTGACAGGTACTGCCTGATACGTCCTCTTCCTCCATTGTTAGCACAAACGCACACGTCCTGCTGACACCAGCACCCACCAGAGAACATGTGGATTAATCCACCACTGAAAATAGTCCTCAGAGTCACTGTGTACTCCTGTTAGTTTGATACAGACTCCAGCTGTGAGCAGCTGTCAGAGGACATCACTCATCAAACTATAGATCTGGGTTTTTTAAGATCTTCAGAGGGAGCCAATGAGCTCAGAGCTGAGAGACAGACAGGAAGTCAGATAGAAAGTCAGACAGGACAGAGGTGGTTCCCACTGCTTTTCCTTGTCCTGCCCCCCTGTGCTGTGATTGGCCAGTACTCATCACGTCAACATGTTGAGGGTGGAGATGGTTAGTGTAAGGACAAAGAGATCATGGTAAGGGTGGGACATACCATCCATCCATCTTCATCCATCCATCCATCTTCATCCTCTTATCTGGGGTCAGGTCTCAGGGGCAGTAGGCTGATCGAAGTCCTCCAGACGTCCTTCTCCTCAGCTCCTTCCTCCAGCTCCTCCTGGAGGACCCCAAGGTGTTCCCAGACCAGATGAGATCTATAATCCCTCCAGTGTGTTCTGGGTCTGCCCCGGGGCCTCCTACCAGCTCCTCCAGGAGGATCCTGATCAGATGTTGAACCACCTCAACATGAAGGAGCAGCGGCTCTACTCCGAGCTCCCTCCAGATGTCTGACTCCTCCCCCTATCTCTAAGGCTGAGCCCAGACACCCTACAGAGGAAACACATTTCAGACGCTTGTATCTGTGACCTCATTCTTTCAGTCACTACCCAGAGCTCATGACCATAGGTGAGGGTTGGGACACAGATGGACCAGGAAATGGAAAGCTTTGTCTTCTGGCTCAGCTCCCTCTGAACCATGATGGTCGGTGAAGCACTTGTATCACTGCAGAAGCTGCACCAAACCACCGATCCATCTCGCGCTCCATTCTACCCTCGCTGTGAACAAGACCCTGAGATACCTGACCTCCTTCTCTTGGGGCAGTAACTCTCTCCAAATAAGCCACCGGTCTCCAGCAGAGAACCATGACCTCAGACAGCATCATCTGAGGCTCTAACATGAAGCCAAAACCTGTAGTTCCTCTAACGTCCGCATCAAAATCAACATGTTTACAGCCTGTCTGGTCTCTGGAGATCATTTCTACCTTTTTATACAACTCACCTGTTTATACTTTATTAAGACTTAAAGTTACACATCATTAAGGGGCATCTTTGAGTGACAGGCTGTCTGCTGACAGTAGATAGATCCACCCCTCCCTCCTCCACAGCTCCACCCTCTCACCCAAATATGGTCACTTCTGGCTCCAAAAAAGAGAGATAAAGATGGCAGCAGCCTAAATGTTGAATGTGAGTCCACAGACCAACGGGTGACGTCACAAGAGCTTCGTCCATTTTCTATACAGTAAATGGACCTGCACGTGTACAGCGCCTTTCCAGCCCTCTGACCATTCAAAGCCCTTTTCACACTACATGTCACATTCACCCATTCACACACTGGTAGCCAAGGCCACCATACAAGGTGCCGACTGCTTCTCAGTACCCATTCACATGCTCTCACACTCCGATGGAACAGCCATCAGGAGTGATTTGGGATTTAGTATCTTGCCCAAGGATACTTTTTTCTGATCTTGCGCTCTACCCTCTGAGCCACAGCCGGCCACAGTCTATGCCTCAGACGGGGCGGTGCTGACTCTCATCCGGATGGCTTCACGCTCGCCCCAGATCATGCTGGAGGTCAGTGTGATGAAACAGAACCACATCATCTGCCAGCAGAAGAGATGTGGTTCCCTTTCTTTGGTGTAAAACCTGTGATGATGTAAACTGAGCCTTCATGTGTTGGTGTCATGTCACAGCAGAGCGAGGACTTACAGGTGCTGATGTTTGGGAAAACAGACGACCAGATGAGTCTGACAGAGCAGGCCCAACTCTATGTGGAGCCCTGATCCTCCTCGACCATCAGGACCATCAGCTGGTGAGTCACAGTCATCCTGTGGTTTCATACTCCTCCCTCTGAGGAGAGGACGGCTTTACAGTAACAGGAAATACCTCCTTAAAGACATGTTTCACTGCTGAGACGACGGTCCTCTGTCCTCCTGTCCCTCTGTCCTCCTGTCCCTCTGTCCCTCTGTCATTTGGACCCTCACAGTTGATCAGGAAAAAAACGTTTAACCTCAGGAAGAGACAAGGAGGACAGATCTGTCCTCAGGATGGACAGAGGGACAGAGGGACAGTAGCTGTGGTAGAGAACAGATGAACATAATAAATGTACAGTGATGAGACATAAAGAGAGACAGAGACACAGGACAGACAGTGATGACAGCACATACAAGGACATTAATGTTAGTCAGAATATAATGATAATAACTGTGGTACAATATGTTGTTAGTACACACACACACACACACACACACACACACACACACACTGATCAGGTGTAACATTGTGAGCACTGTGACAGGTGAAGTGAACATGGATCATTTCATTATAGTACAATGTTCTGCAGGGAAACCTTTGGTCCTGGTATTCCTGTGGATGCCTCTTTATGGACTCCCCCCACCTAAACACTGTCATAGACCAGTACCCCCCCTCACTGCAGCAGTGGGGGTACTGGTCTGTAATGATGTGTGTGTGGGTGTGTGTGTGTGTGTGTGTATGGAGCGTGTCAGGCAGCATAAGCAAAGTTCCTCTGAAGAACACTGCACTGTGTCAGGATGATCCGTGTTGTTCACGTCACCTGTGGTTCTGATGTTCTGGCCGATCAGTGTGTGTGCACCACGTTACACTGGACGAGGACTCCATTATCAGGAAGTGAACTGTTACTACAGACTGAGGGGCGGCCATGTTGTCTCTTCTGTGTGACTGATCTCTGATTGGTTCATTCCACATGATCAATAATCAATAATCATTTCTCTTTGTGCTGTGACAGAAAAACAAACTGGAATCATCCATTAATGAGTTTCACCTTTTTATTTTAGGCAGGTATCATCCTCATCCTCATCCTCATCCTCACCCTCATCCTCATCCTCATCCTCACCCTCATCCTCATCCTCATCCTCATCCTCACCCTCATCCTCATCCTCATCCTCATCCTCACCCTCATCCTCCATCCATACTGTTCTCAGCTTCGGAGCGTCTCATCTCTCTGCTGAGTCGACATGTCAATCATGAGTCAGCAGTTTCATCAGCCTCACAGTCTTTATTGATTTATTTAGCAGTTTCATGTTTAATGATTTTATTTGATATATTTTTCTTCAATTTTAACAAAAATATTTTAAAACAAACTTTTTAACTTTTTTCTGTAGTTTTATTGACGATTAATTATTTTATAGATTTTAGATTTTTAAATGAACTTTGATGAAACTATATTTACACATTTATTTTATTAATGTATTTATTTCTTGAAATAATCGATAAATCTTTTTTGACACAAAGACACTGGATTTTAAACAAGAACAAACATCTGAATTTATTGAATGTTTGCACATGAACTCTGAATATTGATCCTAATTTATTGCTTTATTTATTTTATATTTCTTTCATTATATTTTATTTCTATTTATTTATTGTTTGAAATATTCCTTTATTCTTTTTTTTTTTTTTTTTTTTAAAAGGTGTGAAAATAAATAAATAAATAAAATAAACACCAGTGAGGACGACTCAGGGTTTAAACTGAACACTTTATTAAAACAGCTGTGCAGTAAAAACCAGCAACTCAATACGTTTCATTTCCTGTTGAGAATCAATTAATGACCTCATCAGACGTTTCACTGCTGCGAGACGGCGTCTTCACGCAGGGTTTATAACATTCAGCCTGTTCTGATCAGACAGAACACAGACCGCAGCTTCCTCGTGTCATCGTCAGGTCACAGGACTCGACCTGCCGAGTCACGAGTCACTTGGATGTGACCTGACATCAGTCCACTTGACGAGGGCGGTGTTTACCCAGGAACAGCTGCACGCTTTGAAGCCAGTTTGACAAAATGGCCGAACGGTGGAGTTACAACTTCCTGCTGTCATGATGATGTCATGGCACTGAAAATCCATTCAGTCCAGGAACACCGGGAACGTCTGGAAGCGCCGCAACACGACATTATTTTATCATTCAACTTAGCGGAGCGCTAAACAGGAAGTTAGCCACTAGACCGGAGGAATTCTGTGGTGCGGCTGCTCTGTGGGCCCCATGACGTGGAAGATCCACGAAATTTTAGCTCAGGAGGTCGACCTATTTTTGATGTTTCGGTTTCATGTTGCGGTGAGCCGCAAGCCTTCAGGAACGCCGCTCAGCCTCACTGCGGTTACTCGCCGTGTTACGGTGAAAAAATCCCTGCAGCCTAAAAATCATTTCCCTCATAAACCTCCATCGTAAAGAGACGTCTGAACTGTGGGCGGGACGAAGTTTTGATACAGGGAAGGTTTATATTTTATTTCCTCACGCCGAGAAATTTTTAAAAAAATCTGCAACATCATCACGATGTAAAGTCTGACCTGAGCAGGAACTGGTGGGCGGGGCCAGCAGGAGAGACACTACTGCACATGTTCAGTGGGCCACACACCGCAGAGGTAAACCTGGAAGCTACAAACGTTTCAGCGCCAGGCGAGCGGTGTCATTGGGATGAACAGAAGCCATGTTGGATCATGTGTCCAGGTGTTTTTATACACCGAGCGACAACGATAAGAACGTGGCCCCGCCGCTAATGAGACTTTGCAGATCCCAGGATAGGGAAGGAACGGTCCGGCTTACTCTGCTTCTGATTGGCTCACCCTGACATTCTTACTCTGACCAATCCAACCAACGAAGGCAACGCGTGTGAGCCAATCAGAGGGAGAGGGGGGCAGGTTGTTCCTGCACTGTATCCAGGTCTCGTTATACATGCGGGCACTTTGTATGTGTGAGAAGAATTTGACAAAATTAGAATTACTGTTGTTTCAAAGGAAACGACCGAGTGGAAGCTGCGAGCCGACTACGTGAGACTGTCAGTGACTGAAACAGCAGGAGCATGAGAGCGATCCTGTCCGCAGCTTCCTGATCCGTATCAGCCGCCAGTTACTATCAGCTGTTTCCATGACGATCTGAACGTGTCTGGGTGTCAGAGAGCTGTCACTCCTCACGTCAGTGTTCAGTTTAGTCCGGCTGGAAGGCGACATTGACGGAGCCGGTGTCCTGGGGAGGGTGGGGGAGTTGGGGGCAGCTCTTCCTCCTGGACTTAGCCAGGACGCGGTGGAGGAGGCTGGGGGAGCCGTGAGGAGGAGCTGCTGACCCCCCCGCCGCTGAGGGCCCGTCAGGTCCCAGCGGCCGGCAGATGCTGCTTTTCCTCAGCAGCTTAGGAGTGCTGCGACCACTGCAGGAAGAACAGAATAAATCCATTTGAGCTCGGACATGATCCACAGACAGGAAGTGAAATCAGCTGATTATACGACTGAAGAATGACAAGTGTGAACATCCCAACATGATGCAGTCCTCTACAATAATGTAAAATATAAATAACTTTAAAGTTCAGCGCAGAATTTGTCAGGATGTGTTGAAGAATACTGGAACAGTTAAAACATGACGCAGTGAACAAAGAAAAATCTGCAAGAAGCAGAAATCTGTTAAAAACAACCTGAAACTGAACCAAAAAAAAAAAAACCTGTCATCTTGAACATTAAAGCTTCTGTTTCCAGAACGGTCAGTGACGTCACACTGATCAAAGAACGCTGTATAATTATGAATGAAACATTTCTCAGCAGTGACGATGATGAGCTGCTCCGCTGTTTATTTTACTTCAGCTCAAACTCAGCTATGAGTTTGTTTTTTTAATTTTGTCAGTTTAACAGTCAAAAGCCACCAGGAGCCCGAAGTACGAGACAAACGACACAGCGACTGAAAACCGTCAGTGATAACGACTCCAAACACAAACAGCAGAAGAAGAACTTCCAGTTCTGTTAAAGGGAAATTTGGGTTTATTTCAACCTGTCTCCTATCGTCCTAAATTTGTTTCAAGTGACTAGTGACATAGAAATAATAGTTAGCATGTTAGCCGTTAGCCTAGATACAGCCGGGGCGCATAGTAGCGTCAGACCTGTTAAACCGTAAGTGAACGGGCAACCTTCAAGTGCAAAGTTAGTCCACTAAACAAGCTTTTTCTCCACAAAGACCGCCTCATATCGTTAGGATAAATGTAAGAGAACATATAGAAAAAGACATGTAAACGTGTTGTCTTACCTTACCGGTGTGCTGCCATGTTTGTTTACTATTTAGCTCTGCTTTCCAAAGCGCGGCTGAAATATATCTGGCGAGCTCTAGATAAAGCCCAGCTGGATACTACTCCAGGTGGAGGTGTCTCGTCCTCGGTCACATCCAGACCTTGAAAATAAGGCTGCAACTGGTCCCATTCCTTGCAACAGAGGCATTCCTCTTCTGTGGGCACTGGGGCACAGCATTCACAGGTACACCACCAATCTCCAGAGCTACGCAGCCTTGCAGCAGCCATTCCTCCTCTCTCGTCCTCTACCTGTTGCGCCTCTCTCTCTCTCTCCTCCTCCGTTCTTCAATTTCACGAAGCTCTTCGTCAGTGTATTCTGGCTCAAATAAATAAGGGCGGCCATCAAACTCTGCAAAATCAAATTCCTCCTCCACAAAGTCGAAGTCTGGCAAAAAGTCAGCCATTATTCTATAAATCTTTCATAAAATAAATGAATGAACTTTTCAGGCTACTGTCCGGTTCTGCCTTCCAGCTGTTGCTGCTTGTTCTCGCCAGATATATTTCGGCCGCGCTTTGGAAAGCAGAGCTAGATGGTAAACAAACATGGCAGCACACCGGTAAGGTAAGACAACACGTTTACATGTCATTTTCTATATGTTCTCTGACATTTATCCTAACGATATGAGGCGGTCTTTGTGGAAAAAAAGCTTGTTTAGTGGACTAACTTTGCACTTGAAGGTTGCCCGTTCACTTACGTTTTAACAGGTCTGATGCTACTATGCGCCCCGGCTGTATCTAGGCTAACAGCTAACATGCTAACTATTATTTTTATGTCACTAGTCACTTGAAACAAATTTAGGACGATAGGAGACAGGTTGAAATAAACCCAAATTTCCCTTTAATGTTGTCATGCAGGTGGGCGGAGTTACCTCGTGCAGCCACAGGGGGCGCCTGCTGTCATCACGACTGGCACTGACCCCCTCCTTAGCAGTGTGGGCGTGGCTCTGGATGAAACTCCGCCCTGCAGCACAAAGACGGTGTTACATCAGAGCCAATCAGCTGCTGAGTCAGTGCAGGACCAGTGGACAGATGTTACCTGGAGCGGCTGCACGCAGGCTGCAGGGAAGAAACCCTCGCTTCCATTGGTCAGCCGTCCGAACCACCAGGTCTCGTCCTCCTTAAACAGAACCAGGATCAGGTCTCCCTGGTTCAGGTCCAGCTCCCTCTGCCAGCAGGAGCGGTGCTGTGTCACCGCCACCACCACCTGCCAACCACAGTGCACACCTGTTCACCTCCGCCAGCACACTGAGCCCCGCCCACCTGCATCACCTGCATCACAGGACACTGCTGCTGACTGGTTCATTAAAGGTGTGTGTGTGTGTGTGTTTAGGTGTAGGTGTGCATGTTAACCATTCATCAGTGTCGCCTTTAATCTGCCTTAAATAGCTGCTGCTCAGCTCAGCAGGCTGTAAATACACAGAGGTCAGAGGTCACGGTGATGTAACACTGATGAACGAACACACACACGCCGGTCCGTTCAGGTGAACCGACACTCATCAGCTGTGTTGTCAGATGTTTCTGAATCTTTATTTCTCTTCATTCTTCAGAGTGACATCATCCTTATTTATTAACCAATCACAGGTGATGAATCATCAGACTCATTTCAGTCAGACTGGACGACTGACAGGGCACAGGTGCTGTGACCCCTGGAGGACCTGAACCAAAAACCACCACCGAGAGACTCAAAACATAAAATTACACAGAGATTCAAAACCAGCACTAAGACATTCAAAATGAAAAGACCACAGAAAGAATTTTAAAAATTTAAAAACACCTGAACTCGTCAGTGATTTATTTTTCAAATATTTCACATTCATCTGTAATTTAAGGGAGAAGTCATGAAGCCCTTAAAATCGACTTCATATGCTCTTTAAGGGCTTTTTAAATTAAGGACTTTTAAGGTGTTTAGATTTTTTAATGAAGGATCTCTGGACACAAACACACTGCTGCAGATGAAGACGTTACAAAGATGCTAAGGGTTATTTAAGGGAACTTTAAGGGATGGATGTTTCATTGTTTTCAGTCACTTAGTGATAAAAAATAAACAGTGACCTTTGACCTCACTTTACCTTCTCTGCCTCCACATGTCTCGTCCTCGTCCTCGACCTGCAGACTGACACACACACACACACACAGGACAGACACCGGTCACCTCATCAATACGTCCACAGTGACAGAGTGAGGACTAACAGGTGTGTCATCACCTGAGTGAGGATGGACTCACCTTGTGGGGAGAAGACGGTGGTATAAACTTCAAGCTGCTGGTCGCTCTGTCTGTAGATCTGCTGCATGCTGCTCTCACACAGTGACACACACTGACACACACTGAGCTTAAATACTTGCTGCACTAATCCTGATGAGTGTGTCTCTGTAACACACACACACACACACACACACACACTGAGGACATCAGTGGTTCAGGACTTCTATTGGCTGACAGGATTTAGTGAATTTACTTGTACCTTCGTGTTCGTGCAACAACCAACAGAATTATTCTGAATTTTCCAGTGATTGAATTTCACTCTGAGACACAAGTCCTCTACCTGCTCAGGTACATTGTACTCTACCTGCTCAGGTATTCTGTCCTCTACCTGCTCAGGTATATTGTACTCTACCTGCTCAGGTACTCTGTCCTCTACCTGCTCAGGTACTCTGTCCTCTACCTGCTCAGGTACACTGTACTCTACCTGCTCGGGTACTCTGTCCTCTACCTGCTCAGGTACACTGTACTCTACCTGCTCAGGTACACTGTACTCTACCTGCTCGGGTACTCTGTCCTCTACCTGCTCAGGTACTCTGTCCTCTACCTGCTCAGGTACACTGTACTCTACCTGCTC